ATCTTTGATAATGTCACCAGTCTTTCGTTATGTGTTTATCTTTGATAATGTCACCAGTGTATCGTTACGTCTCTATCTTTGATAATGTCACCAGTGTATCCTTATGTCTCCATCTTTGATAATGTCACCAGTGTATCGGTATGCCTCTGTCTTTAATAATGTCACCAGTGTAACGTTATGTCTCTATCTTTGATACTCTCACCATTATATCGTTATGTCTCTATCTTTGATAATGTCACCAGTGTATCGTTATGTCTCTATCTTTGATAATGTCACCAGTGTATCGTTATGTCTCTATCTTTGATACTGTCACCAGTGTATCGTTATGTCTCTATCTTTGATACTGTCACCAGTGTATCGTTACGTCTCTATCTTTGATAATGTCACCAGTGTATCGTAATGTCTCTATCTTTGATAATGTCACCAGTGTATCGTTATGTCATCAGTGTATCTATCTTTGAATGTCACCAGTGTATGTCACTCTATCTTTGATAATCTTTGATATCGTTATGTCACCAGTGTATCGTTATGTCTCTATCTTTGATAATGTCACCAGTGTATCCTTACTTCTCGATCATTGAGTATTCCAGCTTGGTATCGTTATGTCTCTATCTTTGATAATGTCACCAGTGTGTCGTGTCTCTATCTTTGATAATGTTGTGTCGTTATGTCTCTATCTTTGATAATGTCACCAGTGTATCGTTATGTCTCTATCTTTGATACTGTCACCAGTGTATCGTTATGTCTCTATCTTTGATAATGTCACCAGTGTATCGTTATGTCTCTATCTTTGATAATGTCACCAGTGTATCGTTATGTCTCTATCTTTGATAATGTCACCAGTGTATCGTTATGTCTCTATCTTTGATAATGTCACCAGTGTATCGTTATGTCTCTATCTTTGATAATGCCACCACTGTATCGTTATGTCTCTATCTTTGATAATGTCACCAGTTATGTCTCTATCTTTGATAATGTCACCAGTGTATCGTTATTTCTCTATCTTTGATACTGTCACCAGTGTATCGTTATGTCTCTATCTTTGATACTGTCACCAGTGTATCGTTATGTCTCTATCTTTGATAATGTCACCAGTGTATCGTTATGTGTCTATCTTTGATAATGTCACCAGTGTATAATTGTCACCAGTGTATCGTAATGTCTCTATCTTTGATAATGTCACCAGTGTATCGTTACGTCTCTATCTTTGATAATGCCACCAGTGTATCGTTATGTCTCTATCTTTGATAATATCACCAGTGTATCGTTATGTCTCTATCTTTGATAATGTCACCAGCGTGTCGTTATGTCTCTATCTTTGATAATGTCACCAGTGTATCGTTACGTCTCTATCTTTGATAATGTCACCAGTGTTTCGTTAAGTGTCTATCTTTGATAATGTCACCAGTGTTTCGTTAAGTGTCTATCTTTGATAATGTCACCAGTGTATCGTTATGTCCCTATCTTTGATACTGTCACGAGTGTATCGTTATGTCTCTATCTTTGATACTGTCATCAGTGTATCGTTATGTCTCTATCTTTGATACTGTCACCAGTGTGTCGTTATGTCTCTATCTTTGATAATGTCACCAGCGTGTCGTTATGTCTCTATCTTTGATAATGTCACCAGTGTATCGTTATTTCTCTATCTTTGATACTGTCACCAGTGTATCGTTATGTCTCTATCTTTGATACTGTCACCAGTCTCTATCTTTGATAATCAGTTATGTGTCTATCGTTGATAATGTCACCAGTGTATCGTTACGTCTCTATCTTTGATAATGTCACCAGTGTATCGTAATGTCTCTATCTTTGATAATGTCACCAGTGTATCGTTATGTCTCTATCTTTGATAATGTCACCAGTGTATCGTTACGTCTCTATCTTTGATAATGTCACCAGTGTATCGTTATGTCTCTATCTTTGATAATGTCACCAGTATATCATTGTGTCTATTTATTCCATTTATATAGGAATATAGTTGTTCATCAATTTTATAAAAAGTTAATACCATCATTATATTGGTGATAGACAATTCTTAGTACTTTTGACCATCCAGAGCTGTGATTAGACCTGTTAGATTTCTAAACACTACGTATTGAATAATTGAGTACTAATTTAAGTATGGTATATTCTACTAATGTAGCTTCTACTGTGCTTTTGTTATGAAAGTTTTCTAACCAGCGAGGCAACCGGTGACAATACACCATTGATAAACTTAAAAAATCATACTTTGGGGGAGAAAGCAGAAGATTAAATCATTGATGAAACATATTGTAATATATATGACATCGAAAATGTAATTGAATTTCTGTTTCCCGTCATTTTTGAACAAATATTTCCCAACAGATTGTCATTATCAGAACAATAACGGAACAACATGTACATGACAAAGTATCATCTTTCTCCAATGTTTCTATTTGCTGTATCGATGTTTGACCAGAGATATTTTGTTTGTCGCTATGCCTTGGTTACGTTTACTATACTTACAGCATATTGGTATGAATTATGATACATTGTTAAGATTGTAACCCGAGCACTATATCAACATTGTTTGCAGCAGAGATTGTCATTCCTGTCTGTCAACATTACAGTCCTGAATACTTATTATAGAAATATGCAATCATGAAAATTTTCTTATGGTGACGTCTCAATTTATTTCGATATCATTACCTTATTTCGACACAAGGTAAGTGTTATTCTGGTCGCAGAAATGCCATTGCAACCAGGTTGGGAGAATGCAGATTTTGAGCTTATCGTTAATGACACGTGATAACGATATTTGACTATAAAAGGACCCGTCCCGATACATCGCCTGTACTTTCCCTGGTGATACCTGTCTTATTTGATCACGTGCTCGAATTTACCATGGCAGACAGTTACGGCAATATGCCTCCACCTTATGATGTCGCAAAGGTGAGATTTTTCAATTCATTTTCTGTATACTCTTTGATGACCATTTAAATATAATTGTTTACTTGTATTGATTGGGTGAACAACTAATGGTGAACACGCCGGAAATACAGATTTCATTTTTCTAAAAGAACCGCTTTATTCGATGATGCTCTTTCTATAAAACTGAACTTGCGATGCTGCTTTACAGCGAACTTGTACTACACATACAAAAAAGTAACTTTCTAAAATATTGTAAAATAGTGATTCAATCTTTGTACTAGTATGCTAAGAAACTTCTACAATGCTGAACTTTGTATGATTTTTATAAGTTGAACAACTAAACGTACACGTACTTTTTTTTACTATGTTGTATCTATAAACAAACTATTTTAAAAGGAAATGTATGCTTTTTATGTAAAATGTATCAAAATTACGATTTTCAATAAAATAGTAGTACTTTGTTGCATTACGTTTTTAATTGGGCTTTGAGGTAGCATTATCTTATCGCAGTCGTAGGGAGCCGCTTCCACTGGGCCGTAACCTCTCATAATCAAACTACTCACTATGATGTATATCATTATCTTTCTGAGCAGGGATGTGAGGCAACAACATTGTCATTGCTATTTCTTATTCGGTTTAATTTTCCCTACACCGGAATGGCATTTGGGTATTTTGCTTCAGTGAATGGGATATTGTATTTCATGAAAATCCAGTAACATGATATCACGGAAATGTTATTTTGAAACAAAAGTACCAATGGTCAGCGAAATATCTAACAAAGGAGCGCATTACCTCAATGTACACATTAAGCGTTATTCAATGATTAAATCACGGGGATTTTAGCGATCACTGGATACATTTGTAACATTTTGTAACATCCTGATATAGTGATGCCAAATCATGTCCCACCCTTCTACTACTTTGTTCACAGGCTTACAAGGAAACAGTAGCTGGAGGATTCGTTATCAATATTTTTTCATCATTTGTATTTATTACTGCATAAAATCTAAAGATGCTGTTGGCGAATTTACTTTTCGTACAATCTTCTTAAATAATTGGAAGGTAAATTCTATTAATGATGTAGCAAATTACTTACGAATAGTGTCACAACAATGTATATTACTCACTTCTTGTGTAACACCTGTTAAAACTCTCTTCAGACTGAAGGAAATAACACCTTGATGTTCCATATGGTAATACTGCAGACACTTTTTCAATTTGATTTTTGTGTCTGCTGTCTACTTTGTAAATATATCAGTGTTGCCTGCCATCGACCCCAACAAAAGCTACATATACGGTAAAATGGGTATATTTGTGTTAGTGGTTGTTTGCCGGTTAACGTCATTTTAGGACACATGCTTATGAATCTGGAAATGTATATATGTGTTGTTTATTTGTTTGTTTTTTCATAAACCGAATATTTCACTGAAGTCTTCCGATACATTAAACACGTTTGATTGTTTTATACGCTATGGTCTGATTAGTATGCTTTCTGTATTCGCAAGATTGTAAAATTTAACGATGAAAATTCACGGTTTTGCTTTACGTTTCCTAAAAATATCTCAATGTCAAGGAACATGTAATCCATTTTGACCGACAGGTGATGTTATTTACGTAATGAAAAATTTAAATAAAACATGATAGAAAAATAACCCCAAAATGTATATATCATTTTCTAGCAGCAAAATTCCCAAACCTTAAGCAGTTGAAATTCAAAAAAAACAAAAAAACAAAAAAACAAAAAATATTGACGAATCGGTATATCAAAAAGCAGAGATCATAAGGTCATGATAGAATCATTCATTGATAAAAAGAAGAAAACAATATAATAAAAGTATTATAAAACAATTAAGGAATTTATTTCTTGAACAATGTTAGAAATGACTGTCTCTTAAACATACTTAAACTGCTTTGTTAACATCAATGCTTTGTGTTTCAGGAGGAGGGGAAAACTAACCCCACTTTCGTAAACGACAATGGCCTTGTGGAATATGTAAGTACACTGTCTCAGTTTTGTTTCAAGTGTCCTTTCCCTTATTTTGTGTGAGTTTGATTGCATTTCGTTAATAATTTATTCTGTATCAATTTACGAATCCAAATTTCAGGGTTACATCGCAGGAAAGGAAAAACAAGAAGAGGAGACCGATCCCTGGGAATTACCGGAACTCCAAGACACGTCGAAGCCTTACAGAGGTAGTCCTTGGTGAACTCTTACAATTGAAACGTTTGATTCGGGATAGCTTAAAGTATTAGTGTTCTCTGCCAGTGTTTATCTCTTGGGTTTTCACAGAAATTATTTCAGATGCAAAAAGCATGATACAATCACCAAGTGGGTGATTTGAACGAGGTATTAAAAAAGATAATCATATTTTTTTCTTCGATGTTGCATTTATTCATCAAGTGAACAGTGATAACGGTACACAACATTAATGAAGCAACATAAACTAACTCAAAGGTATGCAATGAACTCGGATTATATAAAGATAATGATATTATGTGAATGATTGTACGTTTCAATGTTTGCGGTAAATGTGATGCTGTATTTACTGCTAAATATGACAACGAAGAACCATAATGAGTTGTATGCTTTGATAGCTGTTGGTGCCAGATCAGTTAGGTATGCTAATTCAATGACTGTAAAAATTGGTCATAATGGTTATCCGTCTGCTTTGTCATACTTGCTATTCAGACCACCCCGCTATTTAGATCATTTATGTTCGGTCCCTAAATACTGAGATTTCGCTGAACAAGGTTCAAACTAGTTTTTGAAGGGTTTTCTTGCAACTTACTATAATAAATTGATATTGTGGTTTAAATGCAAATGCTATCAGAACATTCACCTTATATGGAAATCTAAGTGAAGCTCTGCTTTATTAATTATTTTATCATATCAATATGGCTAAGTGATTTTTTTCTTTTAGAGATGAATGGCAGTGAAAAGTTCAGATTCGTGTTTTGGGTCATACTTCGAATACTCCTCTTCGTTGGTTTCCTTTACCTTTTCATTTGTTCACTGGATTTCCTCAGTTCAGCATTCCGGCTCCTGGGAGGTAGGTCTAAGTAGACATAACATTTAGATCAGCAATTGTATGTACTTTTCTTTTATTCATTGTTTTTGCCACACAACAAAGCATAAAATAGCGACAGACTTCTTCCCATTTTATAACATAGATAACAATATTACAGGTAAGGCAGCTGGCGAGGTGTTCCGGAACATCAAGATTCTGCGGAACCCCGTGACTGGCTTGATGATTGGTGTTTTAGCTACGGTCTTGGTACAGAGTTCTTCTACCAGCACTTCCATTGTCGTAGCCATGGTGGGGTCTGGACGTACGTTGTTGTTTTAATCGCATTAGAATACTAGAATTATTATTTGTAAATATTATAAATATTAATTATAAAGAATATATATCTGTCCTATGCACGCGAGAACACCTTAGTCATTACATGTCCGAAAATTTATACAGGTAAAACGCATCCCATATATAATCAGTGTTCTACTTATTGCGAAATCTAAACCAAGTTGTTGTCGTTCCTAGTCATACAATATTTAAATTTTCACAACTATCCAATTTACCATCAATATCTGACAGGAAGACAAGTCTAAATGCAATCTGATATGAGCGTCAAATATTGTTATCCAAGTAATCCCGATGTAAGTTCAAGACAGTAAAACATCGACAGAGCGATAAATTTACCTATACTGTCCATTCATCATTGCAGGATTATATATATTGTAAGTGTATGATGAGAGCAGTTTTCTCCCAAAATAGCTTGTTAATTTACCCGTGTTTCGTAATCATGTTGAATAGTTTAAGCAGTGTTCCTCTGAATTTATCATTAATACCATTATGAACAGTTTTACGTTTTGTTTACAGTCCTGGACGTCAAGACAGGCATCCCTATTGTAATGGGAGCTAATATCGGTACTTCAGTTACCAACACCATAGTAGCAATCGGTCAGATCACAAATAGAAATGACTTCCGGCGGGCGTTTGCTGGGGCCACTGTCCACGATATGTTTAACTGGACCAGCGTGATTATACTCCTTCCGTTAGAGATCATATCAGGTGAGTCATTCGCACATTCTAATAATAGCACCGAATTGCAGTTTCTGTGTGTTGTTTACATATTATGCTAATTTGCCATAAAGTGCTAATACGCAAAAATAATTATATTGCGCCAAATTTAGTATGTTTAACGTACTGTTTTCCATTCGAGATATTATAGTACTAAGCGATTTTTCATTTATAATTTCAAATTTATATTATATAACATATATAGTATAAATACTATTATTTGGATATATAAGATGTAAAATATATAATGTAACACATCCGATATATTTATTAAAGAGATACTTTTCAAGTTCTATATAAGATATCTTATCTACAATATATAAACTATCACATACATGTATATGATATATACGATATGTTATATAGACACGTAAAATATCTTATCATCAATTAAATATTTTATATTGTATGTTATATGAGATATCTCCAAACATTTTAAGGTATTTTATATAATTTGATTAAACATGTATCTCATTTATTTCAGGATATCTGTTCCGTCTCACCGGCGCCATTTTAGATAGTCTTCCTTTGGACAAATACCAGGAAGGCGAAAAAGATTTACTCAAGGCCATCACAAAACCTTTTACACAAAAAATAATTGAGGTGAGCCATCGAAACGTGGTCATGAAAGCTATTAATTTAGCCTCTATTAAAGATTCGTGAACGCCGACATGTAACGGAAACAGTGTAGATTGAGAAACCCTAATGTAAATTGTATCCCTTTCCATTTTAACTATTGAAAGCCTACCCTTGATCAATTGGTTATTTTTCCTAATCTATTGATCCATTCGGTATACTGACTTAGTGTCCCTTCAGCTCCTATCAGACTTTATCATTGGTGACCAGTATAATACGAATCTTATTGAATATATATGTATATGAAAATGGTCGTAATGCAGTTTGATCATTACCTGAATGGTTTGTGAAGGGAAAAGTTTCTAATAGTGATAAATGATTTAAGATGTTCGACCGCAGCTCCAAACAATATACACATATATATATAACATACGTCAGAATGACCTTGTATGACACTCCTTGATGTCATATTGTATCATTACCGGACTCGTCAACCCTAAACGTCTATCATTTAAAATGAATGGCACTTTGGTACTGTCATAATGTGCTTTATGACTAGAGAGAACCCTGCACAAAATATAATGTATTATGGTTATCATTTATCAGACGGGCTTAATGTCCTTGTTAAGGCATCGATCTTACAGTAGAGGAAACAAAATGTCGTTCGGTATATCAAGTGGTTCTTTTATCAATTGTCACTTTGCGCGTGTACAGAGAAGAATTGGTCAAAAGAACCGATTTATAGCATGGATTCAGTTACAACAGGTGTCAATTTCTATATTCATACGTTTGGGTTTTCGATATCTCTTGGGGTTTTATATGGTCTTACATTCAACTTATCAAACTGTTCAGTCTGAAATGTAGCCTGTATGATTTTCCTTGGGAAAATGGATATCACACGGGTGTTTACGTCATTACCCAAAGGAGGTTCGCATCGTCATTTTTGTATTGCCTTTTGATAACGTCATAAATTTCGATACAAATGTTTGGGTTCAATCATATTTGTTCGATGTAAACAGTCTACGACTACAACTTGACATGCATCACGAAAATTTGATAAACAAAACTTCAAAAATAAGGAAATATCGACTTGCTAATGGAATCATAACTCAAAGATAAATTCGATTAAACTAGAGCAAAATATATATATTGGCAGACTCAAATGAAAACAAGATTTGCAACAACAGAACTAGCAGTCAAAAATAACGAGCATCAAACGCGTCTGACTTCACAGTAAAAATTTCCCTATGAGATTATATTAACGTAAAACTTTCCCATAATTTTCACCAGCCCGTATGCTTAATATGTGACCATCTTGGAAAGATGAACTCGTTCAAAATTTCTTATAAAATACCAATATATCTGTGAAACCCAACTTATGACAAGGAAGGATACTAGTATCACAAAATCAATGATTGACGATTTATCTCTTAACATTTTTTTCTATATTTACAAATGACATCTTTACAAGTTAATCTTTAACATAACGAGCAATCAAACACGTCCAGCGTCGATAGATCAATTACGTCTGTCGTGTCAGTTATCGCAATTATCATCATATTATCACACTATTCTGAAAACGTTAAGAAACATGGCTCGTGGTTGAGCTATTTTTCCACTTAAGACAATGGCTATACACTCTAATCCCGACAATGATAATGAATTACACGTGGAAACAATTCAGAGGTGATGATGTAGCATATCTTAGTTTCCATTTCCTCAATGATAAAAAAGAGGATCAACTTAGTGTGAAATACCATTCCAATGACATGTCTTATCATTCTTAATTGACAGCGAGCACAATGTGTTCAGTACTGCGAGATGAAATAAATAGCTACCCTAGTAGACCGTTTCTTCATATTTCAGTATTGGTTTGCTCTGTATTGTATCGTATTGTGTTCAAGTTTGTTCCACCCTTTAACCAGGATGTTAGACCAACTGGAACTCAGATGTGACTTCACCCAGCTCATCTTCGTTAAAGTATACGTGTATGAACAAGTTTCTTTTCGGCATAAAGGATTAACAATCTTTCATGTTACTAAATGAGCAATCTGTCCAAGGCTGATCGCATTAAATTTTATCGCCACATATCAGTAAACAATTATTTATTTAATTTCTTATAGGTCGACAGCAAGGCTATAGAAAGAATCGCCCACAACGAAGACGTGGACACGCTGCTTAAACTGTGCTGCAAATCAGAGACACCGGAAGCCCTTAATGTCACTTTCAGCAACGTCACTTTGGCCCTGGAGGAACAGGGCAAAGTCTGTGTGGAATCATGTAAGTAGGGATTTTCAAACCATGTTGTATTGATGAGTGTAAACGTGGCATACAGGTTACTGAAAACTTCGAGGAATAAAATGCCGCCAGTAGTGTCCATTACTGCAACCTCGATCGTACAAAAGACAAAAGAGGGTAAATTTGCACTTTTCAACACAACTTTGAAATGAGGTACAACAGAGCCAAAATAAGTATCGAACTGTCTAAATGTGTTCATTGCTATCTATTTATCACCATTCATACCCGAAAGTGATAACTTGGTTAGTTTTACCGAGATTGGTTATACATCTAGTTTAACTCGGCTTCTTTTTATTTGCAGGTCAATTCCTTTTCAAAGACGTTGGTTTGGGAGATACAGAAATAGGGGCCATACTACTAGTAATCGCACTTTTTCTTCTGTGTACCTGTCTATTCGCCATCGTTAAACTGTTGAACTCTCTCTTAGAAGGAAACATCAGGAAGATGATCAAGAAAATAATGAATGCTGAATTCCCAGGAAAATGTGCCTACTTCACGGGGTATATAGCTATGGTTGTGGGTTGTGGAATGACCATCGTTGTACAATCTAGTTCTGTGTTCACTTCGGCTTTGACACCACTGGTCGGTGTTGGTGTGATAAGTATCGAGAGAATGTACCCTTTGACCCTGGGATCAAACATCGGTACCACTACGACAGGTATCCTTGCTGCTCTGGCGCAAGATGCTGACAAAATCAGAGAACCTTTACAGCTGGCTTTCTGTCATCTGTTCTTCAACATTTCGGGAATTGTTCTTTTTTATCCGTTTCGATTCATGAGGTTTCCTATCAGGCTGGCAAAATTTCTCGGAAACGAGACAGCGAAATACCGATGGTTTGCAGTTATATATCTTGTGTTCATGTTTTTTCTACTACCGCTGTTGGTGTTCGGACTGTCCTTGGCTGGCTGGAAGGTCATGGCCGGCGTTCTCGTCCCTTTTGCTGGCATTATCATCCTTATTTGCACGATCAAAGTCATTCAAAGAAAGAAGCCGACTTGTCTCCCAAAAGTCCTTCGTGACTGGAAGTTCCTCCCGCTGGTGTTCCGCTCCCTTGAGCCCATTGACAGGGTAATACAACTGTGTATCTGTAGGTCCTGCTGTGTACAACCTATCGATGACGAGCCCCAAGAACAGGTTTAGAAACGACAAGAATATAAATGTCATAAACATTTTCATTTGTATTTTAATAACCCATTACGGAAGAAAACACAGAGACACTAGAACGCGCGTGTTGACGTTTGATATTGAAAAGGAATATATTTTTAAAATTCGTAAAACTATAGGGTTTGTTATGGCATGTATGGTTATATTTCCATCACGGAAGTCATAAAACAAAAAAAACTACACAATAATTGTGAAATAACGTTTTGACAAACAAACGGTTTTATTTCTAAAAATTCTTATGATCTGGACTGCATGAAACTTTGATGTTGTCCCCTAAGACAGCACGGCTGTTAGTAAACCTCCTAAATCAGTCCTTTCCTAATTAATGCAAATATTTTCACATTATTATTACTTCAGTGTATTTATAAAACGCACTGCAAGGGTAATGCTATTTTTGCGCTGTTCGTTGTTAACATGTCCTTGTACTAGCAGCTTTTACTGAAAGGAAAAAGAACTTTTCATATTTTGAAATAGTATAGAAAAAACTTGGAAGGGGGTTGTTGGTAAGTGTGTCTGAAGCCACTGTGATATATAGTGCGTTTTCAAGTTCAAAGATTGTTGCAAACAATGTGTGTTTGTGTCTTATTATAAAGACATTGTATTAATGGTGCTTTCATAATGTTATGTACCTAAGAATAATTCTATTTTTTAAGATATATTTTGATGTTTCTTGTAAATACATCTGATTTTAAGAGCTTTGTTTTCGTTATCTTTGTTGTACAATCCATGTTTTTATTTGACACAACAAACAAACTTCATAATCTTTTATAGAATTCAGTACATATTCTCAGCTCTTCTAATGAAAGCAATGACAACTGACTATTAATACCCATGACCATTGTGTTTTCATACCAGCATTCCGTTTATTTATGCAAACAACGTTTGATTACTTTTAGTTGAAGCGTAAATATCATACAACAGCATTTTTTCAGTCGACTTGTAATATAAATATTGCCCGGTCCCCTACCTGTTTTACGTACATACCTGGTATACCAATGGTTAAGTGTTACTTAATGATCGTTCTTTCCATCTGTGATACAGAATCACTTTGCCTTATAGACACACGTGTTTATTCTTTGCATATAATATTTGCCCTAGGACTCGTCAGTGATGCTAAGTGACTAAATTAAAATAATCTAAATAAATAAATAAATTATTGCTTAACGTTTTGTCACGTTTCATTAACATATATATTATAACCATATCAGTATTGCCAATTTTACCTCTAAACATACTCGAGTAACCTATCGTACATTATTAGGATTAACTTAGACACTAATCAAGTAATACAAGGGATACATTTGTCTGTGTGAACTTTTTTAAAACTTCGAATTTAACTTATGATATACACGGTAGTTGTTTAGAGATTTCGGTTATTGCGATTCAGTAAAGTGGCTGTCGGCCATTGGTTGACATAATCCAAAGACTAATTGTTGTAACCAATCGTTAGGTAAGGCGAAGAAAAGACATCCGCCTCGTATTTTGCATTTTGTCGATTATTACAGAATGCACAATAGGTTTACCTGATAATGGACCATTGCATGTAAACCATACATATACATTGCATTTGACAACGGATGCTATTATTTCTTTTTTTCGCACTCATGATTTAAAAAAAACAAAGTCTTTAAATATTTGTAAGCACTAGCATTGTTTTGAAAATTACTTTGTAAAGAGTGTTACCAGAATACTTTGTATTTATAGAAAAAGAGATAAAATATGAATATATGTATTTACTGATAATGAATTATTTGCCCATTTCGTGATAACAGTGGTAGATTGCATCTCTGTTTCAACTAATCAATGGTTTACATTCCCTATCTGTGGTTTATTTAACCCACAAGAGATTTTCATAAACTACCAATGATTTTTATAGCCCACCATGAATCTCACATCCCACCAGAAATGCTCATAAATCACCAAAACTACCAGTGATTCACATGACCAATCAATGATTCGGATAACCCATCAATGATTCACATAACCCATCAATGATTTATATAACCCAAAAGTGATTCTAATAAACTACCAATGATTCATATAATCCAACCATGATTCGCAAAACCACCAGTGATTTTCATTAACTATCAGTGCTTGACATAACCTTCCAGTAATTCACATAACCTTCCAGTAATTCACATAACCTTCCAATGTTTCACATAAACTACTATTGATTCACATACCACCATCCACAGCAATTCATATTACCAAACAGGGATTCAAAAAAACATCGGCAATTCACATAAAACACCAGTGATTCACTTAATCCACCAGTGAATCTCACAATTCATAAGTGATTCATATAACCTAACAATTATTCTTATAAACTCCCATGACTCACATAACCACTTATGAGTCCATAACTAACCATTGATTAGCATAACCCATCAATGATTCACATAAACCACTAGTGATTCACATTACCCACCAGCTATTCACATAACGCATTAGTGATTCGCATAAACTACCAATGATTCACATTACAAACCACAAATAATTATCATAAACTTCAAATGATTCACATAAGCCTTCAGTGATTCACACGACTTTCCAAAAAGTTACACGCCCACCTTTCAAAATTGCTTGACCTGATGGAAGCTTCAAAATGGAAATTTGAGGATTCGACTTCCCTTCTTCTCTTTGGTCGGGCTGAAACGAATATCTGTTAGGATTTACTTTCTTTAAACGTATACATAACGCGTAATGTATGTAATATCATACATAGCATTCTGATTGGTCAATAAAAAGTTGATAAGTACCAGTGATTTGAATGTATTATCACTACAGAAATAATATAGCTTTTATTATATTGTATCTACTCATCAGTTTGGAAATCAAAGACACGACAGATCCTTCTATATCAGCTGTATATTGCTATCTTTTCCTAAAACGAAACGAACATCGATATGTAAGCGTAATTTCAATTTCAATATTAAGAATTTTCCATTTCTGGATAGCAACTTTTAGGCTAGGTGATTTCAATTTCCCTATTGTGAAATTTCCATCTCTGGATACATATAACAACATTCCTGTGTCCTACCTCTGGTGTTTAAATGTCGCAATTAATTTGATATTCAATAGTCTGTTCCTAAAATCATGATTTCGTACAAGATGTCGACTACTGACAACACAGAAATGTAAAGTAATGCAAATGAAAGGATTTTTTATTGTCGCTGAAAAATGTTTATGCTTACAATATGGCATTGGATTTTTTCCCACGTTCAAACTAAGTTAATAAAGCACTAAATTACATTTAAATTTATAATACATGGATAACACCTTTTAGATATAATTTCATAGAAACATCATAACAGAAGCATGCACTGTATTTTTAAAAAATCCCAAACAGAATTCAACAAACTAAAAATGAAACATTTACAGATATGTTAAGGTGATACAATAAATGTACTTGAGTTCCACCAGGTAAGTTTTACAGGTAAATCTACCTGTTGGGGCTGATATAAACTATATAAACCTTGTCAAAACAAACTGCCCAATACCGACATTGACATTTGTTGAGTTCAGAGATATATCCTGGTCTATTCAAAGTCCCTTCCCTCAGGCCATTGCCGATTTTTACCTGTAGCAGAGCCCCCATCTTACATAACTTGTCTCTTTTGGCTGTTTTACGTTACGATTGCTTAATCTGGTCATGGAAATTGATCGGTAGGCACTGACCCAACCTCCTGTTCTTTGACGTTTCAGTAATACTGCTGTTTTACTAGGATGTGTTTTTGCTTTTGTACCTCTCTTGCTTTATGTGTTTTAACATTAGTTTCTTTTATTTTTCTTACTCAACATTATTTTACTACCAAAATAAGTTATTAATAATTTCCTGATTTTTCTTTAACAAAAATCTATTTTTAGAATGAATCATTTCTGTGATTATAATTTTGTTATTTAAGCTACAGTATGGTTTAGTTGTGCTATGTACCAATAACTCACTGTGATAACTTTAATGTTGTTATCAAGCCTTTGTTTGGTAATTTTATTTCAATATTACTTCGGTGGTTTTGTTCTTTGTGTTATACTTTTATATGTTTGTCGTTATAATAGCTCTTCTGAGCTAATGTTACAGGTTTTATTGTATACGACAGAAATTAAGATTTCTTGTATTTTGTATATAATGCAGAGGTATCTGAAGTGGATACTTAACCATAATCGTAACATTCCTACCTCCTACTTCTGGTGTTTTCATGTTTATTTGATTTCCAAGGACCAAAATCAACAGAGGGTTTCGAGAGAAGCAGGAATTTTATAATCGCCATAGTAATCACAATATACGATATGAAATTGAACGTGTTTGATGTTAGCATGTCTGTTCGTTCCGTTGTTAAAATACATTGTTCTCATTTTGGAACGTGACTTTCCTGGATTGACCAAGATTTACACGTCGGGTGCCGTCGATGAAGCAGAAGACGTTTAATCCTCCGGACAAAACTGGTCTTATTCTCCTTGTTTTTTTTTTAAAGTCTCCGTGTGAATGTTTCCATTGTTTACATTTTGTCCTATTTAATTAAATTTAGGTTTGGCTTATGATTCTGTTTGAATATTTCTTGCTATTTTTATATGTGGCTGTGACGTATGCTGTACCGTATTTTGTGGAAAAGCCAAGAAGAAGTATACTGACGTGTGTGTTTTCCCACCGAGGCTGAATTGATCAAGGAGCTTATCAAAATATGTTACAAAGACCTTCAATTATAGTCCTAGATATATTGACGATATCTCTTCTGTAGATAACAAAGCATGGTACAATTTTCCATTTTAGACAGTCAAATTCCTGCTCTTTCAATCTAAAAGTATGCAGTTTACGTGGTTGTTATGCTAAATCTCATTGAAGAATATGACATTAAATACCTTACCTAGTTTTACATTAAACAGAAGACGCTTGCCATTCTGGAACAACTGGTCCTATTTTCCTTGTTCTTTTTATGGGGGAATTTCTTTTATCTTTGTGAACATGCCGTAATTTGTTTCTTGGGTTTCTTTTTAAATTGCTCATTTCTTATACAATATTTGTATTTCACAGTCAGAAATGCAATAAAGATAATATGCTCGATGCATTTCGAGGAGTCTCGATTCGTTCATGGATACATATATAACATGAAGATGATATTGAAGCTTAGCTTGTCCTCCTGGTTTAGGTCAATCTAGTTAATATATCGCCTTGTC